TTCAGGAAGGGTGGAGTTGAGGTAGGAGTAAGGACAAGGTGGGTGAACGGCCTGCGGCACGTTCCAGTCTAGTAAACTGGGAAAGCTGGCCTTCTTCCTGGGAATGATGAAGAAACAGATGATGAGAGCAAAAAGAAATGCCAAGGGCAGTTGCTTGCTCTCTGTCTTGTCACTGCAAAATGGAAATGAAATCCAGTAAGAAAGTGATAAGTATACTGGTATTTTTTACTGGTATGTTTTCAATTCTTTTAACCCTTACTTAGAAACAGGTTGTTAGCAGGTAGCTGTGTGAAAAAAGCTGCCTTGAAACAGGAGCTAGCCAAAAGAGAAACCGAGCAATGTTTAACCATTTCATTACTGCTTAGTGCATTTTGCTGAAAACAAATCTGCAAAGGCTTGGTTCTTTGCCCAATACCGTCTTCTCGGGTGGATTTTTTTTTTCTTCCTGGGCTGCAAAACTTAGCGGCGGTGTTTTAAAGCTCGCTGCTGGGAGGATGCACCGAGGGATCGCAGAGAGTGCAGAAAAGGTAGCGTGGTTTCCTTCTGCATGCAGGGCATGTGGGTGGACCGATAATGAAGGAGGCGAGTGTCGTCTGGGCTTATCTCATCCAGGCATCTGCTCACAATTCAGCGCTTGTAGTCGGCGTGCCAGCTGGCGGGACCTTTTCCTGATGTAAATTATCCATCCGTTCTGAGGGGTCTGAATACAAGGAGGCCTTTTGTGCGTAGGGATGAATTCCTAACTTGGGGGAAAAGGGAGGAGTTTCTAAAGATCTAAATAGCACTTGCTTACATTTTTCCAGTCTATCTTTATGGTTTTCGGCATGGCGCGTTTCCTGGTGGACCTTGGGATACGGAATTGGGCGATAACCCTGAGGAACGGCTTTCATTGCTGAGGACATCTGGCAGCTGTGGGCAGCCCGACAATGTGAGCAGGTTGTTGGGAGAATGGTCCCCGGCATCGAACAATGCTGAACGTTTCCAATGCCACTGCTGCTGCCTCTGCCGGCACCCAGACTTGCTCGTGTGGTTGAATCTCTAATTGCTGTGCTGTCTTGAAGGCTTATACGTGTGCTTACTTTCTTTAGAGAATGATATTAGATGGCTTCCTACGTCACCCTGAATTATCAAAAGGGACTGGTTGTTTTGTCACCCTGTCACTTGCTGGTGAACAGCTTCATGCCTCAGAAAAGATGCGATTTTAAAATGTGAGGCACATGATTTTGAGCTCTGGATGCTTTAAAGACATACCAGGCTGCACTCCTGAAGTGCTGAGCTCGTAGTTGCTAACTACCACACATCTTCTTTCTACTAATGAACTTTTGTAATAAACGTCTGGAGTTCTTCCTGCAAAATAGATCTGCCACTTCTCAGTACACAGAGGGAAATAGTGTCTGATGCTTGACACTATCAGACACTTCTAAGCTAAGCGGAGATCAAAATAATTACCAGTTTCTAGGAACAGGAAAACAATGACTTTTTGTCTTCCAAATGAAACGTTTAAAACTGCCTTTCACCTGGTTATTGCTGTCGCCATTTCTCAGCATAATAGCAGTATATATTTATTTAGCCCTGCAAGACTTGAAAGCAACCTAGGCAGCTTATCTTTGCTAGAAAAAGGCTCTGCAACCTTGAAGAGCCCTGCTAGCTGCCAGGCTGCTAAGCACAGCTTTTACGTTCAGTGTGAACAAGAGGGAAACGGATTTCAGCACTGTGTCAGCTGGTCTTGGGTAAACTCTATTGTTCCAGCAGTATTTACCCACGGCAAGCTGATACGGCGCTAGTGCTTGGCTGCTCTGTGTGCATTAACTGCATTCCTGTTTAATGCCATTAACAAGATTTCTCAAGTAGTTATGCTGCCAGCTGAAATAAATGTCTTTTCACCTGGGTTGCTCTTTTGGGAGGGTTTTGAATGCATTTTCCTTGGCCCGCAGTGTAAAGCTGAAGATGAAAAAGGGAGGGTCCTTTCCATTTAGCACAGGGGTTTCTATGGAAAATGTTTTTGCGTTGCCCAGAGTGCAGTTTGCGTGTGGTGTGCTTTTTGCTGAGCTGGAATTTTTGCAAGGAGCTATGGGAGACCTTGTCAGGGAATGGGGACCATAATCCAAGTTATAGCAGAGACGAAAAATAGTTCTTTTTCAGGACATGCAGGCTGTGACCTGGCCTTTCTGCTAGAGCGGAAAGCTGTGTGCTTGTGGAGTGAGAGTACATGCCCGGCCCCCTCTTCATTCCCAGGATTCTTTCAAAGCGTTTCCTCCCCAAAATCATCTTGATGAAGCCTGAACGCAGGGTTTTTGCTTCACGCTGGAGGAATGTGGTACTAGGAGAAGAAAACGAACCACCCCAAGTCAAAGTAGCAGGGTATTCTTGACAATTCAGTTGGACACAATTTAATTGAATGATCTTTGTGCTGTTGGCTCTGACCTTTTTTTTCCATCTTGACTCATGGAATGGCTGCTCTTGCCTGATGTCTTCACTCTTTTCATTGGTGATGAAAATTACCCAAAGAAATCTCACCAGGGCAGTGAGAGGCAGCCTCATATTTTGTTTTACTTCAGTGTGTGAGCTGCACGAAAGCTGATGACAGTTTCATTAGTGATAAAACCATGATAGTAGTTTTAGTTGCTGCCCATCCAAGGTGTTGGCGAAGTTCTTGGACTGGCAAGTTGCAGGTCAACACATATACTAGGGTCTTTCTGCAGAAGAATGAGGAGGCCTTTCCTTCTGGGGCTCCTTGCCTTTATGTGAAAAAGATGAGGAGTATATCCTGGGTTTGTTTACCGTGGGCCTGAAAAAGATAAAAGATATTGGTGCGTGTCTGGCCTGTTGGCTTGTGGCTGGTGTGCTCACCTTGAGTTTCTGCGCATGGTCTTCACCTCAAGCACACTTTGCCTTCAGTGAGGAGCTCTATTCTTGAGAAGAGACCATGTAGCAGGAGAAATGGGAAACCTGGGGGGGATGATTTGTATACCTGTCGGCTTCTTGCCTTGCACTGAGATTCATCTGAAAAATACTTCCAAATAAACGGAAACGGGATTAATCTCTTGTGTTGGGCAGCAAGGGGAGGGTAAGCCTAAACTGCGTTACAACGTTAAGCGTTGATCCTGTGGAGTTTCTAGCCCTTGTGGAAGCAGTTTGGTGTCAATAGTGTGATTGCTTCTCACTTGTCTCCTGTGTGTAAGAACATCTTGTGAAATAACTCAGCCCTAAACCAAAAGTAAGCTAGTATTGAGCAAGAACTGCAGACTGTGAATGTCTGGCTTCCAGGCTTTTGCTTAAGTCATCTGAAACCTCACACATGATACAACAGTAAAGGGTATTTTGTGGGAAGTATTGGGGGGTTTGTATCTGTGCCACACCCCAGCTGTCTTGCATGTCACGCCCACACATTATTTTTTGGTAGGTTGGGGTTTTGGCAGATTTCTTTGGCTTTAAACAAGATTGGTCTGTCTTTATCCTTGCTACATGGAGGTGTAAGTTTTTCAGATGCTGTATGTCTTAATTTTTTACTTTAGTTTTGTTCTGGTATCTTGATTTCTGGACCCTTTGTCATGCTTCTCCTGGTGTTTCCAGCAGCCAGAAAGGACAAAGGTTCCTCCCTCGTGCTGGCTGGGCTCTGGGTGTGACGTGCCTAATGCAGGCTGGTCCTGGTGTAACTGGTGGGTGGCCTGGGAGTGAGAACTGTGCTTCATGACCTGATTCGTTGCAATCAGGTTTTGCGCGTGTGCTTTCAGAGGCACACTGTTCTTGGTGCCTGGTGCCGTCTGGTCTGCTTTAACTTGTGAAGTGAGCCACTCTGCAGCAGGTGCAAAGCCTCACGTTAAAATTTAACATGATGGCGTTAATTCATTTTTACAAGTTGAGATTAAATCTGCATGACTTCCACAGGCAGAGAAAGCCTGTTTCTCAATAAGTTGAAACTCTTCCAGTAGCTTTTTTTTTTGCCTTTTGGTCAATGAAGGGACCAGTGACGGATGCAACCTCTGCTTGTTTTCCTTGGAGGTGGTGGGAGCGTAAAAGAGCGTGGCAGGGACTAAATGCCCAAAGTGTTGTTCCAGACAAACCTCACATTGTTTTAGCAAGTTCCCTACGTGCGCCAGGGTGTCCTGATCGTACACAGTCTGCTCACCGAGGTGGAGCAAGAACAGCCGGTGTGCAGCTGTACACCTCCTCCTGGGAATGTGCCCCTTGGCCAGTGGGGATGGTGGAGGAGGGAGGTGGCTGACGCATGCTGCAGTCCTTTTCCACTAATGGGTTTTCTCAGGGGCATGAATCCCCTGGGTCGTTGGTTTATGTGCATGGGGGTAGATGCTCAAGTCACTGGAGGAGAATCCATGAAGGATGTTGATCTGCTGATTGCCACAAACCTGTCAGGAGATGAACAGAGGGCAGGGAGATTGGTTTACATTTACCCTCCTAGGAGAGAGAGAACATGGCTAAGCTTGTAAACCATTGCACTTGGATCTGAAAGGTGTCTTGGAGACTTAATCATATGGTCTAGGAAACTTAAACCTTGTTTTGTCTTTCCTGGGGAACGAGAAGAAGAGGGTGTACTCGGTAGTTCACTGCTGGAGGAAAGGCTTCATGAGTAGTAGAAAGAGTTTGTGATATTGTCTAGGGAGGAAGCAGAGGTACAAACCAGGCTCTACAGTGTGACTTATGTCTTTGGTTAGTACTGTTTCTCCCATAAACGTATTTGGAAGAAATATTATCAAATGGTATGGTTAACTTGGACCTAGCCTTAGATACACATAAACTGCTTGTTGCTCTGATTTAATATATCATCTGTTGGGGTAAGGACACTTCACGTTGTCTTTGCCAGGACATGTAGTACATAGGACTGGAGGAGATACTTCTTGTGCTACTGCACACTGCTCATCCTACTGGATTATACTAGAGGAGATGTTTCTTCTAATGGAAGAACTGCAGTGTAGCTCTTGCCATTCTTTCTGGTTTAAGTTGTTTGGGTCTTTCTCATGTCTGTCCTCTCTCATCCGCAGGAAAGGCCTTTGACATCACATATGTGCGTCTGAAGTTTCACACCAGTCGGCCGGAAAGCTTTGCGATCTACAAACGTACCAGAGAAGATGGCCCATGGGTGCCCTACCAGTATTACAGTGGCTCCTGTGAGAGCACGTATCACAAAGTCAATCGTGGCTTTATTCGGACTGGGGAGGATGAGCAGCAGGCGCTCTGCACGGATGAGTTCAGTGACATCTCCCCTCTCACTGGGGGCAACGTGGCGTTCTCAACACTGGAAGGGCGTCCAAGTGCCTATAACTTTGACAACAGCCCTGTGCTACAGGTATGTAAACAGGACTAAGTCAATCAGGCAGTCCGAGTTGAGTGTTTGGTCATTGTGGATGGTGGCATTGTGCTGACTGTGGGCTGCACTACAGCCCTTATTCATACTGAAAGGCCCTTGCACAGCTAAGTTGGGATGGACAATCCAAAGAGATGCTTTTGAAGGAAGAGTTGGACTCTTGACTCTATCGTAAGTAAGTTTATGGTACCAAAAGCAAAATCAGTGGTATTAAGGATGATTTGTCATTAGGTAATCATGGAAGTCTTCAGAGGATGGATGCAAATCTCTGCCTGCTTAGAAAGTAGCTGTGGGCACTTTGCTGTTGCTTCAGATGTAAGGACAGAGGAAGGTAAAGCCTAAGTCAAATGAATATTTGAGGCATTTGCATATATATTTTGAGGAAAAAAAATTTAAGAAATGTGAGATTCTTCTAAACAAATAAAGGGTTATTTGAAACCCTAACCTGTTCTTTTACATGTGTGTTGGGGTGGGGGAACTTGATTTTATCCACCGTATGTATGGTTTCTCTTAGAAGTGGCTTGGCGAGAGGATTCGGTTGGGGGTTTTTTTGGGTTTGCCTCATCAGGGCTCATCTCCTTCCTTTTGGAGCTGTGATAGACACTTCTTTCCATTTCCTCTTAGAGTAGCAGGAGCAAACTGAGACGTGAGTACCCAGCAGGCTTGGGGCTCACATGTCTCTGATTTCCCGCCAGCGGGCTGGAGAGCAGAACCTGTTGGGACTTCTGCAAATGAAAATAAAGATTAATGGGAAAGGGAGAACAACTCCTGAAATAGGAAGGAACCAGTTTGGCCACCTTGTTCATGTAGCTAGCCCTTGCAGGGAGCAGGGTCTAATCATTAAGGTGAACGGAGAGATTTCAAGTTAGTGATACGATGTATATTTTCTGATAAACTTCTCTGTGTAAAGATTAGAGACCTGACCACCGGCTTCCTAAAATATGTACAGACCTCTGACATTGCGTTTTCGAACTGAAATAAACCTGTATTTTGTGCTCAGTGTTTCCATGTGCTTATGCCAGTGTTTGTAATTCAGCAAATCTTCTTGTACTGCCTAAGGAGTGACACAGTTGCAGTTGTACGTACAGGGATGTTTTTCCCGTGTTCACTTTCATGGTGTTTGAAGGAAAATGGCATTGCAAAAGCTGTAATAAAAACAAGGAGGTACTACCAGCCATCACTGGCTGAAGGTGACGTGAAATTTGGGGACATTGGCTGGCTGTTGCCGGAGGAGGGTAGGCTACTGTGGTGAAGATGCTGTGTAAATATTATGAAAAGCTCTTGTGTTGTAAGTCAGATCTGCCTGTCTGTTTTTCTTCCTCAGCCTCCCCCAGCCTCATTCGTCTGTCTGTGTCTTTTCATTTGGTGGTGCATGTCTGCCGACAAGTGTACCCTACAGCTTTTCCCGTTTGTGCTCTGTAGCTTTGCAGGAAAACTGCAGTCAGATAGATATGTACAATTAGCAAGCTCACATAATTGCCTGCGCTGCGCGTTTTGCTGGAGAGGTTACCCACTGCTTCCCAGTCAAGATGCAGTGAGACGTTGGAAAGGGTACCCAGGGAGGAGCAGGGTCCAGAAAACACGTCCAAACCAAGAGGATGTGGTGTAAGTCCTCTTGGGCAGGGATGTGTGAGCTTCTGAGGTGCAGAGGGGAAAGTGGTGAGGAAGGAGCTTGCTGATTGATGAATGACCTTGTAAATACAATAGCTAATTACACAGCACTGGTATACTCTTGAGGTGGATGTTTGATGTTTAATTTGATGGGATTTCTGTCTGCTCTAGGAATGGGTGACGGCTACAGATATTAGAGTGACCCTTAATCGTCTGAACACATTTGGAGATGAAGTTTTCAATGACCCGAAAGTTCTCAAGTCTTACTACTATGCGATTTCCGATTTTGCTGTGGGTGGTAGGTAAGTAGACAATAAACCTGTACTTACTTAAAGCTTTTGGGATCCTTTTCAGGATTACTAGAGTGCTTTAAAGATTTTGATTGTACTCATATGGTACCAATAGGCTCCAGTCTTTATTGACTGTCCTAAACCAAAAATGCAGTAGAATGAATCTTCGGAAGCTTGCAAATACTGTGGATAACCTCTTGTGGCTACAATTTCAGGAGAGACAGATATGGAATATCTTCCCCCCGCCCCGCCCCGCCTTGGTTAGATCAAGTGTTAAGTGATTTGGGAGGGCAGAGGGTGAAAAGAGTGACAAAATTGTAAAACCAAAGAAACAAACCTCAACTGTTTTCTACCCTGCTCTTTGTGTGGTTTTTAATGTGTTATTAATTTTTTTCTGCCTATATTTGTAGCCTAGAATAACAGGAAGTAGGAAATCTTAATGTCTCTGCTTCACATATATTTTTAGGAGCTATCTCTTATGAAGATCGGAAGCATTGTACAATACCATGGTTGTCTGTTCCTTTTACCAAAGCATATTGCAGAATGCTTAAATCTTAAGTTGCTGACAATAAAACGTTTCAGAAACAGAGCTGAGAAGTGCAGTGTTTTGGACTGTTTGCAGAGAGCAGTCCTGAGACCTGGATTTGACAACATGGGGATTTGCATTGGCTGCACTACCAGTCTGTGGAGGTCCCTGGGCTTCTGTATTGATCACCTGTGTGCTGTTTAATTTCTTACTGATACAAGCACGCAGCCAGCATGCATGCCTTTTCCTGGACTCTCATGAGAGAGAAGCTGTAGAGAATATACTAATATAAGGCAAACAAAATCTTTGCTTCTCCTACTCAGCTTATTCTGTTTTAGTGACAGACTGCGAAGGAGTTGGTTAACATTCTTGCGGTTCTAAATGCCTGCCTGGAGCGTGTTACACCTATTTGTTTCACAGAATGGTTTGGGTTGGAAGGGACCTTCAAAGGTCATGCAGTCCACACCTTGATGCCGCTGTGGGCAGGGACATCTTTCACTAGAGCAGGATGCTCAAAGCCCCATCCAACCTGACCTTGAACAGTTCCAATGATGGCGCATCCACAACTTCTCTGGGAAAATCTGTTCCAGTGTCTCACCACTCTCATTGTAAAATATTTCTTTCTTATGTCCAGTCTAAACCTGTCCTCTTTCATTTTAAAATCATTGCCCCTTGTCCTGTTACTACAGGCCCTGGTAAAAAGTCTCTCTCGTCCTTCTTGTAAACCCTCTTTAGATGTTGAAACCTTGATAAGGTCTCCGTGGAGCCTCCTCTTCTCCCAGCTGAACAGCAGTCGTGTTCTCAGTTTTGTTGTGACCATCTACCTTTGAATTGCTCTCGTCTCAGATTTTCAGATCTGGGTTTTGTTCCTGGGATTGCTCTGTGCATGACCTGGAGTTTAAATACCTGTTCCTTGTCTCTCATTAACCAGATGCAAATGTAATGGGCATGCAAGCGAATGCGTAAAGAATGAGCTTGGGAAGCTGGTCTGCAACTGCAAGCACAACACCTTCGGGGTTGACTGTGAAAAGTGTCTTCCATTCTTCAATGACCGTCCGTGGAGGAGAGCAACAGCAGAAAGCGCCAATGAATGCTTGCGTATGTGCGGCCATGCTTGAGGGGAAAATCTTTCAGGGGTTGGGTCCCCTGCCTCTTGCCATCCTGGAGCTGGCCCTGCATGGTTTTAAGTTGTCTTAGTTGCAGTTAGCCTGTGTTAAGCACAGTTCTGGAGTGTTTTGTCAGAGATTTCGTGGGACCACTGGTCATTCCACTCCTATCCTGTAGGACCTTTCTGGTAGATCCTTAGAAAGGGGCGTCTCCTTTCTGGAGAAGGATGGGAGCAGCCTTTAGGAAAGAGGTGTGCTGCAAAAATGTACAGGCTTATACTTTATGGGACCCATAGGAAAAAAAAAAATCTGTGTTTCGTATGGTGGAGTATAATTGCCCTTTATAAAGCTCCTCATTTAGCATCCACTAATTTCCTCTTGTATTTGGGTTATTGGTTTTCACAGTTACTTGTTGAACATTTCATCCAATTTCGAGGCTGTTGCAACAGTTCTGGACCGCAAACGCGGATCTCTGTGATGGAAAGCCAATTTATTTTGCTTGGTTTTGTGTCGCAGACCACAGCTCCTGGTAGTTTACTTTATGGGGAAGCTTTTTCAGACAGAAAAGCTTTCTTCCTGTCTGACCTCCGTGTGTGTTGATCGGTCCCAGCTGTCTGGTCAAGAGCTGTGGCTTCCCTTGACAGGCCGGTGAAACCCATGTCTCCTGCTCCTTAGACAGAGGGGATTTGTAATCTGTCTACACCCAGGGGAGAAACTCTCCTTACAGCAGGGAGCCAGCCCTTGCCGTTATCTTCTCATACTTGTTTGCACGACCGAGATCAGTGTTGCTGTGTGGGAAGGTGGCACTTTGGCTGCAAAGAGCAGCCCGATGTAGAAGTGGGGTAGAAAATGCTGGTTTTCTTCCCGACGTAGATGAGAATGGTCTCGAGGAGCCCATTTCATCATCACAGCCTTGCTTCCCCGCCCCACGTTCAACCACCACAAAAACATGCTTCCCCCTTTTTCTTTTCATTGATGCACAAATGCCTTGGGGGGTCTGTGCGTGGGTCTCGGGATGGTTAAAGACTCCTTCCTCCAGTTAATACTGAGCTTTGCGAAGTGGGTTTTGTGACTGTTGGGGTCAGATGGCCTCATCTGCTGTTCGCTGATGGTACCCTTGTCTTTGCAGCTTGCGACTGCAACGGGAGGTCGCAGGAGTGCTACTTCGACCCTGAGCTGTACCGCTCCACAGGCCACGGGGGCCACTGCACAGGCTGCTCGGACAACACCGACGGTGCCCACTGCGAAAGGTGCAGGGACAGCTTCTATCGCCTGGGGAGCGAGGAGGGATGTCTGCCCTGCAGCTGCAACCCAGTCGGTAAGTAGTGACGGCAAAGATTTCTGCTTGCAAGCTTCCATGCACAAAAGCTAGCTCTTCTCTCAGTTATGCAGCTAATTGCAAACTACGGGGTAAAAAGAGGTTTGTTTGGGTTTTTTTCTTCTTCCTCCCCCTACGCCCCCCATGTAAGAAATGTTTATTGGATTGTATTTTGGTTTAGCTTATCTTTGCATCTAATTGTGGTTGGGGTGGCAGGGGCAGATGGTTCACCTCTGTGGCACTTACTCCTTTAAATGTGTTCTGAAATAGATTCCCCCACCCCGCATATGTGTTACCCTGGACACTCCCAGTACTAAAGAGCTTGTTTAAATTCTTAATAAACAAGATGATGTGAGTGGATATTTCTGGAAGTTGTTCATACTGAAGAATTGTAGTGAACTTTAGCTGCATCAGTTTCTCCTACTGAGTATCCAAGCACTATAAATACAAACCAGTGAAACCTTAAACACAAAAGGGGGTAGGGGTGAGAAAAAACAAACTCAGAATATGTAGTTAAACTCCTTTAAAAAAAAAAAAAAAGAAGAAAAAGTTCTGGCAGGAGAACAAATCTTTGGTATCAAGGGAGCCACCTGACCTGTATGGAGCGATCCCATAACTACACCAGCCCACAGCAAATAAGGGGGAAGGAGACAAAAGGGTAACAGATAGTAAAATATGATGTGAGGTTCCAAAATAGAGTAGCTGGAATAAGTAATTGCTTGCAGCATGCCCTAAAAGCAGCCAGCGAGAGGTCTGCCAGGGTATGTCTCCTATCTAATTTGGTTGGAGAGTTGTACAGTTGTGAAATTTTTGACCAAGAAAGGCCTCTTTCTTCCTCGGTCTGCTCTCCCAGGTCCTTGTGTCGGCCCTTATTTTAAGAGGGGTGAGGGTTGCTGTCAGCTGCGACGGTCGAGAAGAGGCAGGGAGGTGACTTCTCAGGTCTTTAAGGACAAATTCCAAAGGGCTTTATAACTTAGCCATCAGCTTGTATCCCGTGGCACATTGGCACACAGGGCATGTTTGAAGCCTCTGGATTGGCTTAGATTGCTATTTTTTGTCTAAGTACTGTTTTTTTTCCTAAATAATCATAAGTGGGCCTGCAAAGGGAATTTGAACTTTGGCTGTATATGGTAAAGGTTTTGTGAGTTCTTCTGTCCTGTCCAGCCTAATCATCTCATAACTCTTCACTTTGCTATAATCTTCTGGTGTGGATTGAAGTGTAAAGAAGTGACTATTTCTGTATATTAAAATACTTTTCTCCTGGTAGTTAACTCTTACAGTGCTGACAACTTCTAGGCTGCTGGCTGCATCAGTGCTTGGGAGAAAGCATTTTGTCCACCATGCTGCTGCTGCTTTTTGTGCAAGTCCACTTGAACAGAGCGGTACTGAGGAAGATGTCCTTCCAAAAACGAGAGTTTTGCTGAAGAGTTTGTTAGGGTTAATAGCGGCATATGCAGCCTCCCTCCGAGGAGACGGTTTAGTCTTTAAATCCAACTTGGGAATCAAGAGAGGAAATTGGAGCATGAAAGGGAGAGGTCAGGATATCCCCTGGCAAAGGAGGGGATGGTGATTAGGTAGAACACAAGGGATTCAGGGAATAAAATCTTGGAAATGGTGCATTGCAGGGTAAAACAGGCCTGGAATTAGAGAGGCACGCAAAGGTAACATTGAGGACGAAACAGGAATAAGGACAAGAATGCAATTTGAAGTTAAAATTATATTTATATACAAAAATGTTGGTTGGTAGGAATACTTAAAAGCTGAATATCGTTTGGAAGACTGGATAATGATTCATCTAGAGCTGCTAGGGGGAAAAAAACCCCTGTGAACTAGAGGCAGTCTTTAGGTGAGCTGCGACTTGTTGGCTTGAAGCTATGCTTCCCACTTTCTTTTCCCATATTTCTTACCCATTTTGTAAAGCTGGAAGAAATTGCAGGCTAATAGAGCTGGGTCGGTGTGCTGAAGTGCCTGTCCCTGCTCTCCCCGCAGGCTCCCTCAGCACGCAGTGTGACAGCTACGGCCAGTGCAGCTGCAAACCCGGCGTGATGGGTGATAAGTGTGACCGGTGCCAGCCAGGTTTCCACTCCCTCTCCGAAGCCGGGTGCAGGTAAGGTGGACAGCTGCTCTCTGAAGGAAAAACTAGGTGCCTTTTTAAAGCTTTCTCTGTGTGGCTCTTAATGAGTTATCCTCTCTCCTGACTCTTCCAGGCCCTGTTCTTGCAATCTGGCTGGCAGCACAGGGGAATGCAATGTTGAGACAGGACGGTGTACGTGCAAGGACAACGTTGAAGGCTTCCACTGTGAGAGGTGAGTTTCTCTTCCCATGGCTTTGTTTCAGGAATGAGAAACATTTGAGCGATGGCCTGGGGTAAGCGTCAGGGAAATTAATTCTGTTTCCTTCACATCTTCAGATGCAAACCTGGATTTTTCCATCTGGATTTCTCCAATCCAAGGGGCTGTACCCCCTGCTTCTGTTTTGGACACTCTTCAGTCTGCACTAATGCCATCGGCTACAGTATCTACTTCATCACGTCCAACTTCCAGTTTGGTAAAATTGAGCCTTCCTTTGTGTCTCGGATTGGGCTGTAGAGTCAAGTCAGAAGTGATTTTAAAAAACCTGCTCCTTCCTCTCTGTGCAAGACTGCAAACCTTGGGCAGGCAGGTCCAGGATCCCTTTTTTGGAAGTGCTGAGTTACTTCTGAAGTTACTGGGAGCTTCCATGTCTGCAGCTGGTTTGTTCACCTAGGGAGGAATGAATTCATGGCTCTGTCCTCAGGCACCCAGTGCTAATATACACTGTGCAGGTGCAAGCGGGACTTGCAAATATAAACCTTTTATAGCTTGAGATCGGTGCTGATGAGGAGGCATTTCCTCAGTTTTAGAACCAAATCAGGAGTTTCTGATTGAGAGGATTATAATCACTTTAGATTTGGGGTTTACTTAGCTCTAAATAAAACACAGTTGTGTTTCTGCTGGATTTGTAAGCTCGGGAAAACCTTTTTTCATACAGTCCATTTCCCATTTATGCATGTTTTCATGCTGCGCAGTCTGAAAAGAACATCTTTTTCATTAAAATTCCACTGGAGAATAGTTCACATGAAAGCTGAAACTCACATCAAGTTGTAGGTGACTGCAGGTTTTCCCATCCCTGCTTAAGCGCTTTAGAAGACAAGATTTTGAACAAGTAGCTGTCGCAGGGCTCAAAGTTCAGAGAGTTCAAGTCAGCACTCAAGTTAGAGGCTTAAATTTGGAAAGGTGATATTTGCTACCTACATCCGTCTGCACAGCTACTTTCTAATGTCTGTTAGTGCCGGTATACAGGCTATAGAACAGTTATATAGGAGCAGTGTGCAGTATGACACGAGAAGTGCGTGCAAAGCTATGTCTTCAAAGGGTGTTGATTCTTGCACGTTTGCTTTTTCAGGAGAGGACGAGTGGCGTGCTGAGCAGCGCGATGGCTCGGAAGTCTTACTCCAGTGGAGTGCGGAGACCCAGGATATCTCTGTTATCTCGGACAGCTACTTCCCCATGTATTTTGTTGCACCACGTAGGTCATTCGAGAAGTGAGGCTTTCTGTGCTGCTTGTGCCCTTTCTGTTCTGTTCACAAACAGTAAGGATTTCTTCTCCTTTCAGGCAAGTTCTTGGGCAACCAGGTTTTGAGCTACGGGCAAAACCTGACCTTCTCCTTCCGCGTGGACAGACAGGACACGCGCCTCTCTGCAGAGGACCTGGTGCTGGAAGGGGCTGGGCTGCGAGTGTCGGTGCCGCTCATTGCCCAGGGCAACCCTTACCCCAGCGAGAGCTCGCTGACCTACACCTTCAGGTGAGAGGACT